GCTGCTGCTGCTGCTTTTGCTACTACTACTACTACTACTACTACTACTACTGCTACAACTACTACTACTACCACTACCACTACTACTACTACTACTACTACTACTGCCACCACTACTACTACCACAACTACTACTACTACTACTACTACTACTACTACTCTACTACTACTGCTGCTGCATCTACTGGTACTAGTTTTGCTGCTGCTGCTGCTGTTCCGGTACTGCTACTGCTGCTGGTGCTGCTGCTGCTCTGCTACGGCTACTGCGACTAGTAGTGATAAATGATTAGATGATATACGTGTTCGACATGCCAACAGAAGCACTCATAGTTGACAGCACAAAAATTCTTAGTGACAGTAGTGAACATAGGCAGGGAAAACCCCGAAATTTTCCCGACCCCGACTTACCTAACAAACATAAACCGGACCGACAAGCCTTACCATTAGGAGTAAGGCCAGGACACTCTGAAATGTTGGGGAATCCCAGAGCAATCAGTATGCATTGGTATGACGGAATTGCCAATATCTGCTTCCCGGGTTCAAGATGCAAGATGTTGTGAGTCGTTTATCCCTTTGTTCTGTTCTGGCTGCTCGAAAGCATCATGAGAGTTGCGAGTTTGCGTGTCTTCATGCTTGCACGGCCTAGACTCTTTCAAGGTCAGGAAGTTGAAAGCCTGTATGCACCCAACACCCCCGCAATGCTATTAAAGAGGAGACCCTATTTGTTTGCCAATTCGTCGAAGCTTTACATGTCCCGAAAATATTGTACATGCCGGGTTACCCCAAGCATGATTGAACCGAGTAGGCAGCCACTGGCCTGAACCTGGACTATGCTGAAGCAGAGCTTGTCCAGGCTGGCTTCAGTTTGCCCCCGTTCCACATCTTGATCCCATCCCTCCATAGGTTCTGTAGCAATACAGTATAGGCACGTCCGCACATGCATGCATGCGCGCATATAAACACAATACCAAGCTACTGATACATACATACCTTCACGTTGTTCAACATGTGGATTGGCGGCCGAAGACTGTTCGCCGCGATCACCCAATTCCTGGGCCTGCATAGCTTGGGAAGTAAAGGTCGGAACTAGTCGCCATTGTGTTTTGCGGGAAATCCCTCTGGTTCGCCAAAATCATGACCAACAGGGCCTGCGGTTCGTTACCGTCACATGCGAACAGGCCCAAACACGGATCGTGACTAGTGGCCATCGGTGCTTTTTTCAGCATTTACACTTCGTTTGGGAGGAACCAACAAACCACCGGGAGACCACTCAGACGCCAGAAGGCCGGCAAGAGAGCACCAAGAAACCTGCAGGACACCATCCAGAGAACACTAGGAGATCATCAGAAGACCACCCACGACGAGCACACCGATCAGGACGACAACGACCAGGAGACCACCAGACCACCAAACGATCGCAAATAGACCAGCAGGAGACAACCAAGAGACCAACGAGAAGCTACCAAGAGTACCTGGAGACCGCTGCGTGCACGGCACCATCCAGGGAACGCCAAAAGATCATCAGAAGACCGCCCAGACCAGGATGACCACCACGACTAGAATCGAGCACGAAAAGACCACCAGGAAGCCACCATGACACCACCAAGATCGCCAGCAACGACCAGAAGACCACCAAAAGATCACGAGGAGACCACGCACCAGAAGACCACCCACGACCAGCACGGCGACCAGGACGACCACCACGACAACGACCAGAGACCTTAAAGAGACAACCATGAGACCAGCAATATAATACACCAATAAGAGACCACCCCGAACCCAGGAAACGCAGCAGACCACCAGGACACCAAGAGAATAGTTGGAGACCCCAGGAGACAGCCCAGCGAGAACCACGAGACGGTTAGAAGACCACCAAAAAACTTCGTTCTAGGAGACTCTAATGACCACTAGGAAGCCAGCAAGGAACACCAGAAAACCCCCAGGACACGACCAAAAACGTCTCCCGACGTTTCGGAAGCACGTACTGCTTTCTTCGAGGATCCGGGAGCACGGCGCGAAGGCTTCCCCCAAAGTAGTACTGGTGCGTTTTCGGCACCACGACTTCCCCCCCTCTAACTGGCGGGGTTCAGGGCCCACCCCGAATCCTTTCCCTCAAACAGCGGCGATTGAAGGTTTTCGAGATCAACATGTTGGTCCCGGTGGTACGAAGCACAATGCTTTCGGGATGCTCGCCTCACACGAATCCTCCAGAAAATACGGCCGAGCGGAAACTATGCACTGCACCCCGATGGCAAACATGTGTTGGACACATCCTGTGTAAATAGCAGGACACCATGAGCAGATGCGCACGTTATGCTGTAAGCTAGATGCGGGAAGCCACTTCGGCATTGTATATGTGTATTATTGTGTAATACTGCCCTGTGTGGGGAACATATGAGTATCTGTGTGTATATATTATATACACACGTACATTTATATTCTCATATATATATACACACACACATATGTACATATACATATACATATACATATACATATACATATACATATACATATACATATACATATACATATACATATACATATATATATATATATACATGTACGTACGTACGTTCATACACACATACATACACACACACCCACTTATGTATAGGTGTAGGTATAGGAATAGGTATATTCGTCTATATGCATATATACACATGCCTTCTGTGTGTACACACACATTTGTACATACACATGCAACATGTGTATGTGGCTTACATGTGGAAATGACATCTTCATGTCGACAGGTTTACCGAGCGCAGCTGTACAACGGGCCAATCCTCTTTAAAACAGTTTTGGTCACAGACGAGTTTTGGGAGGATGGACACACACACACACACCGCGACAGACCTGCATACATACCTACATACGTACAGACACACACACACACACACTCTCTCTCTCTCTCTCTCTCTCATACATGCACGCACATACGCAAACACACATACACACACATATATACATATATACATATATACATATATATACATATATATAGATATAGATTAGATAGATAGATAGATAGATAGATAGATATACACACACACACATGCACGCATACATACATGCTTGCACACACACACACACATACATAGGTACATACATGCATACATTCATATGCCGAGAACAGCCACGTCTCCTCGACCTTGTCTGAAAGATCTGTATCTACCGACCAAGCCCAGAACTGCTGGGACCATTTTTGAAGAGGTGCTGTCTCGCCAATCATCAAGACATTGCATCCTAAGGAGATACAGGTAGGCAATTTGTGGTTTGCGATGGGTTTCCAATGTCGTGGCTCCTGTGCACTTTCATATCAACATCAACAAATGTGACATGGGCTCCTGCACCGGATGTGTCCCTTTGATTCCCTTTGCATGTTTGGGTGCCAAGTAAACACTCATGTAGCGGATTGCTTTTCCGAGTTCGCCACCACCATTGCACGTACTGTGAAACCAAGAGAAGGTCAGGAAAAATGGGTTGATTACTTAATTGCTGATCCTCGACGCATTTGCGTAGCCGCCGGCTTGTGCACCTCGGATGTCCTAGAATACCTCGTGCTCATCTGTAGATTCAAGTGGCATTGCATTCGGCAGAGGTTCAGTTTCTTCGGTGACAAGCGACCATGGCATTTGATGCTAGCCCGTCGTTCCATGTACATAGCATCTGAATCAGCGCCAGTCTCCATAACTTCAAACTCGGGAAGCAAGCTTTCTAGGCCCTAGAATTCATCATTTCGAAGTCAGACGCGAGACGCCCCTGAACCGACAAGCAGCCTTGCAGGATTCTTTTTCAGGCGCCGACTCCGTCCTACAGCCCGACAGACTTTCCGGGGGAGCCGCTGAGCGCATTCGGAGCTCGGTTTGGAGGATTTGGTTCAAAGGCACGGCCACACTCTTGGTATCTTGGGTCTACTACTGTCTTCTAGCGTATCATCGCTAGCAAGTTTGCATCACCCTGCAATCCCAAATTTACCTACGTCAACAGTCTGACTGGCTTAACACAGCCCCAGGTTGGTATGGATTCCTCGGACACGGTGGCACAGTAGGCGGGATTAGATGGCGTGTCGGGGTCTGTCGGCTTGGGACCTGTGCGTCCTACTCTACCTCCATGCTATTTTGAAAGCCGGGTCACACTGGAGAGTTCCAGGTACGAACAAACGTTCTCCAGAAATAGCGAACTGGAAGATGGAAGGCCGACTTCTCATCCCGACGATGCTGCCATCCCAGCATTGCTCATGCGGCCACACAGCTGCAGTTGGGGGTCGTCCTTACATGCCCTGGTCCAGGTAAGTGCTATCTGCTATCTCTATATTCGGGGCACAAACTCTGCCGGGAGTCAACACTCTCAATGTCAACACCAGATGTGCCGGTTATCCTTCTTGCTGCATTCGTCCGACAGCTTGTTTTGCCAGCTTGGTTTGCTCGATGAGCTTTGGCAACGAGGAGAATCGCGAGCAGAACTTCGAATTTGTGCACAGATTCGGATAGGCACGCCTTCTTGTCAATATGCGAGCCATCAAGATCACAAAAAGCAACCAGTTCGATTTACGCATGGGATACGTACTTGCAACTGATTCTGCAGCAAGGTCACCCTGGGCAAGATATCTGGTGGTCTATTTTCACTGCAATGGCGTGGACTTGGGCATGTGCAGAGGATTCTGCAACGTACTTCGGAAGCAGTTCCGAGTGCATGTGCGGCTTTGCAGCAAGAAGATCCTACCCTTGCACTGTGAACTTTGCTGCTCATATGGAAGCCTTACCCAGAAGGCCATTTTGCATGTGACTCAAACGACAGCTTCAACGTCGCAACTGTTATGCCTTTAGCATACATAGGCATGCTAAGCGGCAGCTGACACGTGGAGACAGCGCCTTCCCACGTCTCAGCCCTTGATTCGCTAGTCCGTGTCTTGCCGGAGCAGTCCGCAGCGCCTAGCTTTGGCATGATGCCTTGTTGACATCTAGGAGCGGAGGGTTCGGGGTTCGATGAACGAGTCATGAGCTGCCGTGTTCTACAGGCTCATCACATCCGCTCCGAGCAGCACTCTGTGCGTTTTGTGTGCAGGTAAGCAACATTAGGCAAAAACATACTTGTATACTCAAGAGTATGGTATGTCGATGTGTGTATACAGACAGTCACATTTATACATGTAAGCATATACATACACGCAAGCATGCATTTATGCTCGTGTTTTTTTGAAAGGTTTGCTGGCTAACATGCTTTCCCATTTGGATGCATACATCCGTGTCTGTCTTACCCTTTCGTAGTAAAAGGGTGGTTCGTTCCCCAAAAAGTGGTTCCGCAAGTCAACGTTTGGGGCAGAAAGGGTTACATAGATTGCTGTCCGCTCGAAGCGCCCGGGAGCGGCGCACGAGGCTTTAGGTGCTCTCAACCATCACACTTCTCGCTACAGTGCCGCGCGCCTGTGCTATCGTGCTCCCACATGTTGCTATAGGCGTTCAAAACACTGACACTTAAGGGCAGGGCCAGATCATTCGGCCTCCTTTGGCTCTTCGGCGTGGCCTTGTATACACTGTTGAGATGAGGGCGTTGAAGGTTTCTACAGGTTTCTACACTTCGCAGTCTTGCTATTCGAAAAACAGGTTTCGGTTGCTCATTTTAGGGATCGAGACATTTGGTCTCTTCGTGCTTTCACTACTTTCCGTCTGCACCAATCCTCCCGCTACATTTCCTTGCGGCATCTTGCTTTTGCCACCGTGCGCTGTTTGGGGTGCAAATCGTCTTCCCACAGAGCCGCTCGAATTTTGGTCGACACTTCTTGATTAGACGGTGCGGCGCGTATTCTACACTTGGGACACTTGTGTCATCTTGGAGAATGATCAAGTGCAGTATCATTTTGGGCAGTCTCGAGACGTGGTCTTCGAGTGACCCCCAGGGTGTTCAATGTGGTGCTTCGCGGTCGGGGTTTTTTCCTGCACAACATACATTTGCATGCTCACTTGTTTCTTAATAAAGTGTCTCTTCCACGCAAAATGAAAGCGTCAGCTTGTGAGGCTTGCCGTGGAGTATCCGGGCTATGGCGCGTGGCATGCAGCAACAACGCCAGAGACCATCGTGGACAGTGTGCTGATTCCCACGCAGCGGTTGTGTTGTAGTCTTTTTTTTTCGCGGTGTGTGTGTGTGTTTTTTGTTGTTTTGTGTGTGTTTGTTTTGCTGTTGCTGCTCCTGCACACATGTATTCTGTGATATAACTAAGAGCTAGCACGGTTGCAACTCTCGTGCGTGTTGTTGTTGTTGTTCTTGGTGGTGGTGGTGGTGGTGGTGGTGGTGGTGCTGGTGGTGCTGGTGGTGCTGGTGGTGCTGGTGGTGCTGGTGGTGCTGGTGGTGGTGGTGGGGGCGGTGGTGGTGGTGGTGGCGGTGTCGTCGTCGTCATCGTTGTCGTTGTTGTTGTTGTTGTTGCTGTTGTTTCTGTTTTTGTTGTCGTTGGTGTGGTTGTTGTTGTTGTTGTTGTTGTTTTTGCTGTTGTTGCTGTTGATGTTGCTGTTGTTGCTGTTGCTGTTGCTGTTGTTGATGATGATGATGTTGTTGCTGCTGCTGCTGCTGTTGTTGTTGTTCATGATGTTGTCGTTGTTGTTGCTGTTGTTGGTGTTGTTGCTGCTGTTGTTGCTGCT